GATATGTTTGATAGAGAACGGGCTGAAATTATGCACTGGATTTATCTCTAAATACCTGTCAACTAAACAATGAGTTTTGATGAATGCTAACTAAATAATCAACAACAAGGAATAAGAATACAAAGCGTACAATTATTAAGACACAATGACATCAATCATTCTGAATGTCTCGAGATAAGAAGTACACATAAAGATCACGCGATCACAATTCATTCATTGCTAAAATTAATTTCAAAGAGTTAAAATGCTGCGCTGAGGTTAGTTGACTTGCTGCTTCAAGGCAGGAACTTGGGATTTGCAAGTGATCATTCAAATGCTTACATCGGCCGGAAACCTCGACCCGCAAAACCGAAATCCTGAAAACATCTTAACGTTTACGCACAGAACCAGTAATCAAACGTACAATACTTTGAGACAAAGCTCTGACATAAGAATATGAATATGATTTTGTTAATAAATATGTTCATGAAAATGATAAATAATGCTGGCATTAGAAGATGCGGTTTGAAGATAGATAAAGTTAATAACCTCGAATGTCCAGTCTGAAGGAGTGTCTCTCCAGCGTTCATCATGTCTAATATCNGCGGAGTCATTGAAAGGTGAATCCATTAGCATTCCTTGATGCCACACTTCTCTATCGCTAAATGAAGCGCGACCGAAGTGATCTGTTGGTGGCACTAACATTGGACGATAACCATCCACTCGACCAATCGGCAATTCTCTTCGTTCGAATCGTCCATTCAGTGGCTCACTCCTTGCCATTGTCCACCGTTCGTCACATTCAGTTCTAGAAATCAATTACCTTTATGATCGATCGTTTAGTACTTATGACTGAACATTTATTCATACATTTACAGTTAACATTTATTATTTATACATTTAAACATTTATTAGATACATTTATTGATGCAATCATTCGATCATCAGATATACGCAAAAATAACCATCTCCAGTACTTATGACTGAACTGATCGATAACAAATCAGATCTAACCTCGGTCGATCGTGATCAAAATCAATGAAATGCGGCGAGCGTTCACCATCCAGCAAACCTCCTCTTCTCGTTGAACGCCATGTCGGAAATTCATTCACTGGTGACCGTGTTTCATCAACCTGCATTTTAAAAAATTCAATATATTCGCAAGAAATGGAATAAAAATTATCCAGCAATAATCAGATTGGAGGAGAATTCTCCACTGTCCGAAGTGTTTACTAACAACCTCGAGGTCGTTGGAAATTTTGTGGGAAGCAAATTGAATATAACTTTCATCAATTAAATGAAATGGACGGAAACTATAAAATACGAACAGCGGAATATTCATACAAATTCATACGGCTGACAAATTGCTCACAAACAAATTTTAAAAAGAAACAATAAAACAAAAGCATAAAAAAAAGGAAATTACTGAGGAAACAATAAGAAAAAAAAGAAACAAAAAGAAAAATTACTGATTGTGAGACAAAACCGCACCATAAAAATTGGAGACGATTTTCGATTACAAAATGGGTCATTTGCAAACAACGGTTCAGCAGCACCCATCGAATCCATCATCGGAGGTGGTGCTCGACTATTATTGAAATGATCATTGGGCCGAAAGCGAAACTCTTCAGCGTCACCCTCCTCATCGCCCTCCAATCGCACTCCATCAGCTGCCCTCAACCGTCTCCAATGTTCATCGTCCTTTCTCCGCTGTTCACTCACTCGCCAAAGCATCATCTCCTCATCTTGTTCCATCTTAAAATCACCTCTCAACGATGCTACATACGCCTGATTATTGAGAAAAATCACACACACGCAATCTGCTCAGGAAACAAAGGATACCCGGTCAATCTGCCTAAAGACGTCTCGCCTAACGACAGTTTGCCTAAAAACACATTGCCTAACGGACAATTTGCCGAACGGACATTTTGCCTAAGGAACAGTTTGCCTATTAGGCGAAATATCCATTGAAAAACCGTAAGTTAGGCAAACTGTCTTCAGGCAGATTGACCGGTCACGGAGACAAAGACGTTGAACCCTTAAAAATCTTACAAAAGTCTCTGTAAACAAAATAAAACAATCAAAAAAGACACTGAAATAAAAAAGACAATGAAATTTACTAATTCATGACGTTTGCGTTTCTTGGAAGAACCTGATGAATGCGGCTGCATCACGTCTGGCCATCTGCTATGTCCAGCAAGCGATGAAAAAAGCGATTTGGGCGGGTGAGATCTGAATTTCAATAAACTTTAGGCACAATATAATGGAAAGAAATGTATGGAATGTTTCTTTTATATAAACAAACAAAAAATTGAGTTGCTATTTCAGTAACACATGAAACTGTTTTAAAATACAAAAGCCATTGGGTGAAAATTATGAGGAAATTCTCAACACTACTGAATAACAAATTTAGTGCACTTATATTTTATCGTCAATATTTTCGACGGCATTGAAGTCTATACACGAATCTCAACGAAAATTTGCAAGGAGCGTGGTATAGCAGCAAAAATTACTACTCTAACAAATCGAGGTTAACACAATGTAATAATGATACTACTATGGCAGTAACAATAATAACAACCACCATCACTTAATAATAATACGATTAATAATAAAAATAAAATTTAGCTGAAGACCGAAACTAACTTTTTATTTGAATCCGGTCTCGGTTTTTGCTCAGAATCAGCCGAAGCTCTTCCTGATTTGTTTTCTGACTTAGCGCTACGTGTTTCACACTGAAAATCATAACGATGTGGATGCGTTAAAATGTTCTATCATTGCAGCATATTGAACTGCTCGATTACTCGATACACTATGAAAAGTTGCACTCCCAGTATCGAAAACATTACTCAAATTCAGTTTATCGTAAGAGTAACCTTCGAATCACTCGTCGATGCACTCGAAATTTCCGACTCGTCTTTAGGCGGAGGAACAATCAACGCCTTCTTGGAATTCGAATTCGGTTGTGTGGTTTTGCTTTCATCATCCATTCGCTTTTGGGAACTCTTCTCTTCTGATTGCGACGTCTGTTTTGATGATTTCGAAAGATCCGTTTTACTTGACGAATCAGGAGATGTAGAGTGTGACTTCGTCGTCGTGCACTCGCTCACAGAATCGATCGCTTTCGATGACCGCTCTCCGACTGTTTTTGTTTCCTTTTTCCACGACTTCTCTCGTTCCAACTTCTCTTCGCCAATATCACTCTTCGCCGTTTTGTTATTTGTATCTTCAGACAGGCGAGTGGTTGTTCGCGACGGTCGTTGAATCGTTTGACCATTCGTTTTAGAAGCAGCATAATGAGCTCGCGTCGTCGAGTTTGATTTCCATTGTTTTTGGGATGACGGCCGAGAGTTATTATCTCTTTTCGAAGACAATGACGGCATGCAAGACACCTAAATGATAATTGAGACCTATACGCTCGGCCCGAAATTAGTTAAAGAAATTTTCATCAGATAGTTTCTTATGTGAAAAAGAATTTAAGCCCTTCAGTGAATGTTGATGATTAAAAACTAATTTTACTCATCAACACTTAATGAAGGGCTCAAAATAAAAACTAATTGTGAGCATAATCTTTGCCCGGAATGCACTCAAGGTCCGAAAATATCGTAGAGATGCCTCAAAGTTTCCTTGACTTTATACAATTATCTCTTAACAATGATAATATTCATTAAAAAACCAAAGAAAAAACCCTTCAGTATAACAAAACTAGAGAACGGATAAAATGTAAATTATGTCAACGCCATAATTCAACGTGAAATTGTTGATTTACCTTTGCTTTAGACGAATCCGACGAGCTGTTACTATGGCGAAATTTACCGACGAGTGATGGTAGCTCGGGTGGCGGAGGACATACGGATTTGTCCTGGCCAAATACCGGAGACTGAAGATTTTGTGGTGTAGATGAAGATGTTGCTGGAGAATTATGAGCGTCTGATATTCCACCTGAACTCATTACCTTTTTTAGTTTACGGAAAGTCTACGAAAGTCTATCAAACATTTGTGATCAAATCAGAAGTACGGGCAGAATTTTTTTTCTGTTCATCAGTGAAGACGCGACACAGAACTTCAGTTCACGAACTAAACGCGTAACAGAACATCATAAAAAGGTTCGCTAATGAATTCACTGCTTTACCCACTCAATGGCGCCGATCACCTTTTCAAACGGTTCAAATCACCGGAACATTTCGCAAGATTCTGAATGAAAGAGAATCCAAAAAATAGACTGTACTTCAACTCTTTGATGACAATATTCTAATAACTATCGTATGAATAATAAAGTCTGTAAATAGTGACAAACGTGTAAATTTCAAATATTCATTTCGAATTTCACATACTTTCTGTTCGACTGTGAATAATGAAGAAATGTGAGCAGATGAATAAGAAACAATCGATCAAAAAAATGCTCCACAAATCACCTGAAATTGCTTTGGAATCACCGAATAGACGATGTACACTGCCACTTCCATCACTTGGCGTTGACGTGTTGTTATTCACCGAATTTGTGCTGTTGTTCTCAATCGCTGATGAAGCGCTCAACTGCGCACGTAGCAATCGAACCTTAAAAACACGATTGAATGCGAACACTTTCAACATCTCAAATCCAAATCATTTCTCAACTGTTCAGTAATGTTCTCAACTTTTTGCAAATCACTGAACAGCACTGAGGGCAATTTTGAGAAGAAGAAGACGAAGAAACGATGCAGCTTGCGCATGAAATCAATACACAGTTTTAAGTAAGAAACATCTAAAATTAAAAAAAAAAAACAAATATGAGATTTAAGAAAACTGGTTAAGAAGGAAACTGGATAAAACGAATCATACTACTAGAAATCGCAGTCGAAGAGGTAAGCGCTTCACTTAAAAACAAGTGCTTCATTGCCTGAGTAAATCTGAACAAATCTGATGCAAACAACCCTCTAAAAACCAACCTCGTTTTCAAGACGTTTCGAATCAGCCATCCATATGTCTCGTTCGAATTTCATCTTGTCATTCTCTCTCGAGAGGATTTTCGACGCGCGTTCTTGTTTGTCTAACTTCATTCGTACCTGCAATAATTGATGATAGATGCTCGATTCAGAAATAAAATCATATGAAATGGCAACAAAATCACTCCATTCCGATTCGGATCACTACCATTTTTAATTTGAAATCACACAAATTAGATCCTCGCTCATTTCATCACAGAAAAAAGTACACTTGAAATGATAAAAAAGCGAAGCGAAATGATGAAAAACGACTCACATCGTTGAGAATCACGTTGGCATCTGCAAGAGCTGCTGTTTTGTCAGCAATCTGCGTGGTCAACACATCACGATACTTATCGAACACGTTGCACGTTGTGCATTTCGTATTCGTTGCTGAAAATTTTCAACAATTCGACTGCGTTGATCCATTAGATCATGAAGCAAAAACATCTCATCACGTTACATATAAGTTCCGTTCTTCACAAATATCCGCTTTCTGTGCACAAAGTGAGTGAGGGTGCTGACTGAATCGTGTGAAACATTTCGAGAAATGAGTTGAAACAACAATCTCGGATCTGATGGATCACATTAAACAAATCGTTTGCTAGCATTCATTTGAATGCCTTAAATAACTCACGATCAGCTATATTTACGAATGCGCGAGCATTAACGTATAGTCTTGATGAAGCAACAAAATATCTGTAATCTTACCAACGAATAATTTGTCCTCTAATTTTTTCTGGATACTGATCACTCGTTCATTTGCAAGATGCAAATCTCGGTCTGCAACGAGCAATTGGCGAGTTTTACTATCGATTACACCACGTAACTGTGCCATTTCT